CTCTAATTCACGCCATTGGTTGAGCCTGTGTTGCTGTGTTGAACCGGTCAGGATGCTCAAACAAAAATAGACAGATTTTGATAGATCCAGTTTTCAGGATGGCAAACACCCAATAGAGGGCTTTTTATGTGGTATAAACAAAATAGTCCACAAAAGAGGAAATGTATCATTTAAACCAACGTCAGCCATAAAAGTGTTACCTTAAAGTCACATTGTGCTCACTGGACATCACACTTACCGTTGGTCATTTAGATACTCCTATCCAAATTGGCTTACAAATGAACATCACAAGCATTTCTCATGCCAGCAATATTTACATATGGCAATGCCACGTTTCAGAAGTAGTAGTAGTACTACAGAAAGCTGAAAGCAGAGTAGTAAACCTGGTAACATAAAGTAGCCGAGTTTCTTTTAGCTTTAGTTTTTGTCAATAGTTTTCTGTGATGAGGACATGCCATGCCACCTGTCCATGTTGGCATCTACCTGTTTTGGCTAAATACTACTAAGGCTACGTTTACACGACAGCGATGTAGTAAAAAACTGAAAAGTTTTTCCCTTGTGTTTTAAAAAATTTGATGTATAAAACACGACAACGTTTTCAAAACGACTCACGTTTACACATATCTGCGAAAACGGCCAAAAACGCTGTATTACGTATGCCAGGCCAGTAGTTGGCGCTGTCACCTTGTTAGTAAACAGTACCTGTAGAGAAGTGACGATTATATGTTGTATATTGTAATATTGGTGAAGTAAATTCACACTTTGCTGAAGAAGCTTTGGCAAACTCTTGAGCAGCAACAACAGTACTATGTACTCCGCCATTGTTGTGTATGTTTGTTCGCGCTTGCCTTTAAAATCGACACGTACTGCGCATGTATACACACATAACACGTACTACGCACGTGCATGACGTCACCGTTTTCAAAGATTCCCGTTTTGGGTGTTTACACGGAAACGACAACAGTGCCGTTTTCAAAAACTTGCACTTTGAAACGTGTTTCAAAAATATGCGTTTTCAGTCCCCAAAATGCCGTTGTCGTGTAAGCGAACAGGCAAAATGCATAAAAGTTTGCAGTTTTTGGCTGAAAACATTGTCGTCTGAATGGCTCCTAAGTGGCAGATCAGTTTTATATCTCAAAACAATTAAACGTGTGTGTGTGTGTGTGTGTGTGTGTGTGTGTGTGCGCGCACCCAGTCTTATCTCCCATTTTTTTATTTTGATAAATAAATAACAAATAATAAATTCTTGTGTAATAGAAATGGAGTTTTATACATTTTAAAGGTTTTTGCTTCACCCATAGATAGATCATCTTTAGTGTTAGGAGTGTAGATATGAGGAGACCAAGCTGTTGACTAAACTATTGGTGAAAAAGAGTGGCTTGAATCTAGTTCACACAACTCTGCGGTGCTGCAAAGGACCTTTGAGGAACCTTTATTTCTAATACTGAAGTGGACATCTTATATTCCAAATGTTAAGGAACATTCATTGATTTTTTATGAAGGATGAGCTGACAGGAAAATTTTATGAGATCTGTTGATTATTTAGAAACATGACCTTCCGCATTGGCCGTGTTTATGCTGTCTTTGTGTTACCCACATGAGATAAATATTTCCCAATACTGCATCATAGAAAGTTTGTGGGCATTACCTCATTACCTCCTCTCTTTATACCCCCTCCCTCTGTTCACGCTGGTAAATGAGAGCAGACCTAGACCAGGCAAACCCTGCCAGGCGGCCCGTCCTATAAATGCAGCATTGAGGCAGGGCACACACAGGCGCTTTTGTTGACAGTGTAAAGGTGCGCACCCTGCGGAGGGCCACAGGAGAGAGCAGACATACAGCCCTGTGTCCATCTGGAGGCTAGGGACATGGGTTAGATGAAAGAAACGTAGAAACTAGATGCTAAGCATGGGTAATGGACCTTAAAGAATTAATTCATTTGGTGAAATGTAGCATTACATCACTTTCTCAGCAATGGATGCTCTGCAGTGAATGGGTGCCGTCAGAATGACAGTTCAAACAGCTGATAAAAACATCACAATAATCCACAAGTAATACACACCACTCCAGTTCATCATTTAAGGGGTTGCGGGGGGAAAAAAGCTGAATGTTTTTTAAGAAACAAATCTTCAAAACTTCAAACCACCTTGTCTGACTAAAATACCATAATAACATTTCCTCCAGTGAAAAAGACATCTCATCTGAATCAGATCAAGCACGTCCAAAACAGCTTTTAACAAATATGTGGGTGGACTTTGATGTGAGAGACAATAGGGGATGGACTTTTTCACTGGAGCATTATGGGATATATGCAGCTTTTCATTGTGTTAATTGCATTACTTTTGTGGATTTTTGTGATGCGTTCATCAGCTGTTTGGACTCTCATTCTGATGGCATCCATTCACTGCATTGATCCACTGGTGAGAAAGTGATGTAATGCTAAATTTCTCCAATTTCTTGGAGATGAATAACATTTTTTGGTGAACCATTTCTTTAATAGCTTATAATTGTACAGAATGTGGTTGGAAAATGGCTTAATGAAGGGGCTACTAATGTAATTAAGTTTAGAGGTTGGTTACGGTTATGATATAACAAATATAATTAGTTTAATATAAAATCAACAAATGTCCCACCATATTATTCTATAAAATAAATGTGTGCATAAAATTGGTAATGTCTTCTTCAAATGCTATTTAAAAGAATCTATATATATATTAATACGGTATATGGTATGCTCTGGGTGAGTGCTGGGTACACTTTTCTTACAAGTCATTAACCCGTATAGGCAGTTCTCCTGTATAACTGCTTGTTATTTCACCGTTTTACTGGGTGAAATAAAACCATTGCTTTTTATATGCTGCAAGACCTCATTCACCCCTAACACACACACACACACACACACACACACACACACTAGAATTCTCCTTATGCCCAATGTGTGTCTAATTAATGAGCAACTACTGCACAATAGAGGAATGTTTCATTCCTAGCTTTGCATTTTCCACTTTTGTTTACTCTTTTGTTCTCATTTTGATCACTTTTTACTTCTAAGTACTTAATAATGATTCTGTTTGATTTTCTGTACTCCTAATACATGTCCATACAAAGCTTTTGCACGCAAAGTCCCATAACTTCTCTTTTCTTTTCTTTTTCACCTTGCATTTTTCTGCTTTTTTCTAAAACACATCTTCATTGTTTTCTTTCATCCTGTTCTGCTTCTTTTTTTATTGTTCTTCTGAGCGCTTTGTTGAAAACATCTTGAAAACTGTCATCTTGAATGAGATGAAGAAACCGCTGAAGACGAAAACATGTCAAGAAGGGGGATTTTCAAAGGACAGCGAGTCAAAAAGGGAGGGATGAAGAAGATATAAGGAATTCAGTTCTGGGGAATTTGGGGCTTAAAATAAAATAAAATAAAATAAAACAAAAAAGGTCATATATATGTCAGTCAGTAAGTACACGGGACAGTGCGGTGTATTTGAATGTAGTTTAGTGTTTGTGTGTGCACGATTAGAGTGGGATTGATTGTTAATGCGTTCTGAAACATGGCCATTCTGCACAGTCCTCACATGTGGAACAGTTTACTGCTGTCCTGCTCCAAATGAGCACAGCCTTACAGAGCAACAGACTGCAATTGAAAGAAAGAACCATGCAGGCTAAGAGACAGACAAAGATAGAGAGAGAATAGTCCACTTATAAGTAGATTAAAAGGAGTGAACTTTATAAATCGTGACTTAATTCAAATCTAAAGTGCAAAAGTTACCAGGTAATGTACCTGTGAAATGAAAACAGTAGATGCCAATGGAAACTCCTTACTATAATACATTTAAAATGTGCAAAACGGCTAACGTAAACACGATTCTTTAAAAATGCAATCCATTACAGTCATGTGTGTCAGTTGAGAAAACTTGTATTTGTAATCTGTATGAAGATATGGAAAGTCAGCTTCACCATTTATGGGTTTGTGCTCTGGAACTTTCCATCAAGTCCTGATGGAGGCAGAAGGAGGGGGTTAGCGAGCGCTGGGTGCCCTCCACCCTGGGCATGTGGCAGTAGAACAGAGGCAGCTTTATTGAGCTGTGTCTCTGATTTAAATCATATGGCATCGCCTGGAATCACTTCGTGGCTTGGAGGCCGTTCAAATGAATGCCCCAACAAGAGACTCGCTCTGTTTCTCCCCCTCATTTCATCTGTTTGTTGGATCTCAATTTCTTTCACAGTGGTTCTCACTAAAGCAAATGGCGTCATGACTGCTTGATTATGATGCTGTGTCTTTTATATCTCAGATGTCTTCAAGGTAAAATGTCTTACCTGAAGAAATATGCACGCAAAATGATTAGAACTCAGAGTTTCAGTGGTTGCTTGTCACTTCTTAAAAGCATGCCATTTACGTGAAATGTGACAACTGATTTGACGGACCTGGCTAAACTGTTCACCAATTCAGCATTTTTGTTTTTCTTTTTTTTTTGGCTTATCCGGCTCAAACCCATTTAGTTGTTTACAGACCTAAGAGCAGAAAACCACATGAAATCTGGCTTTTACAAACCCAGTCCAAACCACATTCATATGTGGTCTGAAATCAGATTGCAATTCCGGTTCTTGGAAATGTGTGTGTTTCAATCTGAATGGTCAGATCTGATTTAGTTTTTTAGTATTTTTCCCCAGACATCCTTTACATTGCAACATCAAATGCACATTACTTAGTGCGTAAAGACTGAGCAAAAAATAAGTAAATTAAGGCGCAACAGTAGAGGGTATATTTTATGGACAAATTTCTATTTTTTACTCTGAAAAAAGAAGATGTAGACAGTTCAAATTCTGCATTATTCTTCTTTATATGTTGATAGCGTTCTTTTCTCTGACGTTGCCTCACCAGTTGGATCCTGACTAATTTTATGAGAAAGCATTGGTCTGACCTCTTGTGCTAAACTGTTGTTAATAGTGCATAGGGGTCAAATTATTTTTAAATGCTATTTTTTTCCTCTTGTGTTTTTCTGCAGGCATCTGTTGGATTACTGTGCATCAATTCTGGATCACTTGCTGAGATCACCTTCCATTCAGTGCTGCGCAAATGTTTATAATGGATTTATGATTGTTGCACACAGCTTAGTAAGAGAACTCCTTTTATAAAAAGTGTCGAAGTGAAAAGATAGAGAAGTGGTAATTTACCATCTCAACGAAAGGACCGTAGGACAGTCTTTAGACACTGAAAGACCGCCATTATCACAATGGCAACCAATAGGGAGAGGCCTATGAGTCATATGACAGGGTTCTACCCCTTTGCCTTCAGTTCAATGCGAAACCACTCCCCCTTTGATCTTCTGGCCAATGGCAGCCTATTTGGACGATTTGGAGCGGACCTTCCCAAAGAGATGGCAGCTCTGTGTGAGTAGCAGACTAATTTCATTTTATGAATAAAACTGGAGCTATTAGTGTGTTCTTTTCTTGTGTTTTTTTTTTTTACAGTAATATTGTGAAATAACTAAACATGAAAAATTATTTTCACTAAAATTGAAAATAACTTTTCTATTTTAATAAATATGTACTTTATTCCTGTGATGGCAAAGGGGGAAAAACAGCTTTAAATCGCAGGAATAAATACAATTTTACATTATATTCACACAGAAAAGTTATTTTAAACTGTAATAATAAATGTCAAAAAACATTAAAAATAGTGTAAATATGTACAGAGTATCTACACACTTAAATTATGCAAATCTTATTTTGTTAAAAGGAAGAGCAAAATAAATGAAGCTAATATAGAAGATTCTACCAGTAAAGTGTGCTTTGAGTTTGTTCAGCTCTGTGTGCTGGTGTGATTCAGGGTTTTTATTCTTGATGTCGGCTGTGTTCAGACATGCACATCCACTGTATGAAACAGACCACATGCCAGTCACCACCTCCTGGAATAATCCTGCGGAAGCACACACACACACACACACACACACACACACAAAAAAAGGCAAATTCAAATCCTTTGCACTCTGAAGAATGCATATAAAAACAAATGTCCATTTATTGCCAGAAAAGAGTGAAAGAGGAGGATACAACTTTGTTCAGCAAACTGAACAAAGATTACATTTCAATGCAAAAATGTTTAATGTATGATACCTGGGATACTGCTTCTTTTTTTGTCTTCCTGAGAGATAAAAAGTAGTAAAAGTAAAATAGTTGTCAACAGTGCTTCTACTATCCTGTGTGATTATCTCATTATGTGGTGCCTTCATACACAGATGCTCCATTAGCTCCATTTAATAAGAGATAACATCTACCCATCCCTCAATCTATCCTTTCTTCTTTCAGAGTGGGAACATACAGAGGGAGAGACAGAGAGGCAGGTGGGCTAGACGGGTGGGACAGTCTGTTCTTTAAATAGCTGATCACTCAATTGTTTGCATCCTAAACAACAGACTATTTTAAAGCTTCAGCCGGGACACAAGGATACGATTTCTACGTGTATGTCAGCCGGGACACAAGGATACGTTTTCTACGTGTATTTACGCTTTGATTTGAACGAAAACAGTGCATCCGTGTGGCGCGGCTGACACAGAAGAGCGTACGCTGCTTGCATTCAGCAGATATTCTCCAAAATGGCGCTACGGTGATGCGGAGAGACACAGAGGAGACGAATTGTTGAATAAAGTCGTTATTTTTGTTTTCGTCGCATACAAAAAGTATTCTCGACGCTTCATAATGTTACGGTTGAACCACTGATGGCAGATGGACTATTCTGATGATGTCTTTCATACTTTTCTGGACCTTGACAGTGTTATTTACTTGACAGTAACAAGCCTCCCGGTTTTCATCCAAAATATCTTAAATTGTGTTCTGAAGAGGAACGAAGCTTTTAGGGGTTTGGAACGACATGGGGGTAAGTGATTAATTTTCATTTTGGGGTGGAGTATCCCTTTAAGCCTAATATTTTTCGATAGGATTCCATCCCTATGAATTGAAACAAACGATCTACTTCATTTGCATAACTATGGTGCGCTGACAGTATAGTTTGATATCATTAGTGTACATAGAAGTCTTTGAAATGTATATTTATCATTACATTTTTTACTTTTATAGACCTCATTAAGACATAAACCATCTAGACAGGATTAAATACAACCCCAAATCCAGGAAAAGTTTTTTAAAACGCAATAACATTTTGTAAAATGCAATATAATCAAGATCTTATAATACAATCGTAATTCTTTTTAATCTTTATTTGATTGACAAAAGTGCAAAGAAAATATTTTCAATGTTTTTACTGACCAAATAAACTGCAATCTGTAAATATAAGCAAATTGGGACAGAGGCACATTTAACACTGTGTCACATCAGCTTTCCTTTTAATTACAATGTTTAATTGTTTATGAATTGAGGATACTAATTGTTAAAGTTTTGCAAGTAAAATTTTTTGCCCAATACAAGACTTCAGCTGCTCGTCAGTCTGTGGTCATCATTGCCTGATTGTCCTTTTCACGATGAGCCATGCATGTTCAATAGGAGACAGATCTGGACTGATCTAGCACATTCACTCTGTGTCTACGAAACCACGCTGTTGTAGCACATGTAGATTGAGACATGGCGTTGTCTTGTTCTAATAACCATGGACTTCCCATGAAAGATGTCATCTTGATGGCAGTATGTACAATGCCAATATAATGCCTCCATGTCAATGGTACCCTCACACATGCCGGACACCCATGCCGTTTTCTCTGATAAACCCCCATACAATGACAGATATTTTCTTGTGCATCTGTCTCTGGTGAAAGTCTGGATGGTCCCTTTGGTCTTTGGGACTGAGAACTCGACATCCGTTTTTCCCAGTGGACTCATGTGACCACAGCACACATTTCCACTGTCTCTGACTATCTGAGATGAGCTCTGGCCCAGAGAACCTGCAGCATCACTGCATAGAATTGATGAATAGCTTTCTGATGAGCCAAACCTGATACCCTCACCTATTACCAATTTACCCTGCTTATAGACTGTTTCAAAACCGTTTAATTTGGCTATTCTATAACCCTTTCACTTTTACTTGGCCTCTGTCCTGACTTTCTTTGGAGTGTGCCATCATAATCAAAATTTGTTTATATTTGCAAAATATATTTAAGTTGGTCAGTGAAAACTTTGGAAATCTTTTCTTTGTACTTTTGTCAATTAAATAAAAGTTAAAGCGCATTAACAAATCACAGATTCTTGATTTCATTGCATCTTACACAACGTCCAAACATTTAATTTTTTCCTGATTTGGGGTTGTATATTGCTGTCCATTTAAAATTAAGATACAATTATATTTGCTTTTTGTAGATAATATACAGGTATTATAATATTTCTATAAAGACACGCTTACTGCTTAATCCCTTTAAAGAACAAGACCAATTACCAATTAGAAATATAGGGAGGTAAACTTAAGGAAGAACCCACAGATATGGGGAAACAAAGAGGACCATCACATCAATATATACTTTTGATTCAGTTGTTACTTTGTATGAATTGAAGAGAGCGCTTACAGAGGCAAAACAAACATCTCCAAGCAAAGATAATATATTTGTTATTAAATGATTAAACATTTATCTAAAACATCACGTATTGTTCTTGTTGTGATTATTATTCATGTTGGAATATTTATTAACTATTAAAAAAATATTGTGTCTATTTTGCATTTTTTTTTAAGTCATCAAAATAATTTGGATATTATATATATATATATACATATACTTTTGGAAATGGAGTGCTCTGTGGGAAATACAATTCCAGGCAGTGTGCTCTCGTAGTATAATAGACAGCAAAAATAAAGAATGAATGATATAAATACTGAATTATGGTAAAATAAACAAGCTTTTAAGTAAAGAGCTTTGTAAATGTGATTAGTATGCAGTAACTTTATTTTGCATATATTAATCTGCATATAAATACAGCTTATGGTGGAAGTGTTAAGGTCAGTGGTTGAGAATACTTCATTTTTGATACGTTAAATATGTTTGCTGTTCTTTCTGCAGTGGTGGCATAAAAACTGCTGAAGTTAAGTGTTTTTGCTTAAGGACACCTTAAATACTCAACTGTGTGTCTGCCAGCTCATGACTTCAGCGCTGAAACATTATTCAGCCTCAGTACTGACAGCAACTCTATTAACTGTAAATAAAAGACCACTTTACTTTTTTATTAGCTTCAGATTTAACATCCTGAGATGTTATCTGTCTTAGATGAAATCTGCAAAACCATACACTAATTCTCGGCCTCTGGCTCAGTTTTCAATTTCATAAAACACTTTTTGCAACACACAACACACAGTTCTCTATGTAACACACACAAATCTAACATGAATTAATATTATGGCAAAGGTGCTTGCAAGTGTTTGCTTTTGAGATGTGTTTGTGATATTTTGAATGCAGTGCTTCATTTTGCAAGAGATGTGAGGCATTTTGCATTTTGTGTGTGCAATTCTTGGATTTGTGTGAAAAGTTTTGAAAAAAGAGGCAAAAAAAAAAAAAACACTGTAAAATACCAGTCACTCCTCTGTAGCTCTACTGCCCCCAAAGGACAAATATGGTATATTAGTTTAATGATATCATTGCTGTAGTTCACTTAGTTAATTAAGTGTGACTGGAAAGTCTCTCTCTCTCTTTCTCTCTAGCAGTATTATTGAATATAGGAAATATGGAATACTTATCAATGACACTGGAGTGTGCAATCTCACATTCTCATTCAAATGGTAGTGTGTGCTCAACATACATAAAATGGATTGCATCTGTCATACAAAAAAAGCAATCCTTTAACACACACCAACCCACAAACTCACTCATCTGCACATGAGGTTGTGAATCTAGTGGAGCTTCTGGTTTCAGAAATGCAGAATGTGTGATGGAAAAAGAGGTAGCATTTGAAAGAAATGGCACATTTTTCTTCTTTTAAGAGCGAGGCAGAGGATGGCCAAATGCAGAGGTTACTGCAGGACTGAGGCTGTGAAAGTACAAACTCCACATTGTGCCTCTTTATTTATTTATATAGAATTGGATTGGAATTTCTGGGGTTTGGCCCAATTCTTTAAACCACCAGTGGTGTGTGTGTGTGTGTGTGCGTGTGTGATAGAGAGAGACAGAGAGAGAGAGAGAGAGAGAGAGTGAAATTAGATTTTTTTTTTTGATTAATTGTTTGCGTGATGGAGGATTCTAGTAAAGTAATCTGAAATGAAGATTGTAAAGTTATAGAGGTTATTTTTTTAAAACTGTAAAAAAAAGACAGACAGACAGACAGACAGAAAGAGTGTGTGGTGATAGAGATCAGCCGGCTACATGCTGCAGGGAAACTGTCCCATCACAAGTTAGCTGGCATGCCTTACTGACATTAAAACAGGAGCGAGTCGTGCACTTTTATGCCAGTAGCATTTGTCA